ACTTTTACCTGGACAGAGATAGGAGTAGGAGGAAGTGAAACTGTAGCCCCATAATTATGGTGTCCATAATTAGGAAGAGAAGAGACCTGGGTTCTGGTCCATCCTCTAAGGCCTTTTTCATTATTTTATTCAATGGCTATTAAATATAAAATGTAATGCACATCCTTTGGTGCAGGATGAAGGCACGGTACTAAATCCAGATCTCCAGCATCACACCAGCATGTTGTAATAGTAAGTTATAGCATAATAGAAGGACCCCATTACTACCTCCTCCTTCCACCAGGGGTCTGAGGGAAGAAAAGCAGCGATGGCCACTGTGTTTCGGGAAGAACTCAGTGCTGTAGGTGTGCATTAAAGAACATTGCCTAGATTGGGTCCATTAATGGAAATGTGCAAGAGAACACCTAGATTGAGAATCCTCAAGTTTAGACATGTGAAAGGTGTTTCACCAGCATTGCCAAGATGGTTACAGTTCTGCAATGTCTAGCAATAACATTTAGGCACAAAAGTAACAGATGCTTTTTTTTTATGTTTATAGGCATAGGCAGAGAGGTTGAAAATTGCATTTTTGGATGTAGGCATCTAAATGATGCGTAAGTCCTGCATTACACACCACGTCTCTAGTTGCTCTGATTATATCATCTACTGCCATTGACTGGCCATGTAGAATACATGAAGTCATTATCCATATCAGCAACTTCGTCATTTTACCAACATTTTCTAGGGTTGTTTTTTAATCCTTCCTCAACACTGGCAAATGTTATGTTGCAGTTCAGCTGATTCTTATCCTACTCTTCACATCCATCTGTTAGTGCTTGGCCAGTACTCAAGCAGGATAACACTGCTAGCATATTTGAAATCTTTCACATGGCTGATTTTGGTATCAGTGCAGGATGCTATCCCTGAAGCAGTACATCGGAGCACATCTCTGACAATGACCCATTATTTCTTACATTAAAAAACTGAAGTGACAGCAAGGTCACTTTTCCATTTCACTCAAACCTCATTTTCTTGGCAGATATTTTGTAAAATACGTTTTTCCTGCTGACAGCCACAAAGCAGCTTGGGTTTTAGCCTTAGCAAGTCGTGAGTAATATTTAAAAATGTACCAACATAATTTAGTTCATTGACGGTTACACAAGGTTCTTCTTTAAATATAGGTCTCAAAAAAGCTAGCTTGTTAACAATTACTTCGAGGTGTTCTGAAAGTGACCTTGATTTTCACTGACCATTCAAACAGCATGTGACATCAAAGGAAGGCTGAATGCCAGCACTGTTCACAGCAATAGTGTAACATGGGGTGGACGAGCAGGGCATGTGTCTCAGGTGTTACCAAGGAGGGGGCACCTCACCCTCCTGTCCCATGCCCTGCCTGCAAGGAGGGCTGCAAGAAGCAGCTGGCTCCAGCATCTTGCATCATGGAGCTCAAGGTGTTCTGGGAATCATACTTTTGTAGAGTGGCAATGAAATTTTCTACTGGGGGGCGTGGGGCTGGCCCCCAATTATTTTTTTTAACTAAAGTGATCCATTTTCTTTGCTCTCTCAGTATAGGCTTTAGTGGCAAAAAGGGGCAAGTTAAAGTCCCACTTCCTGCCCCACCTTCCACCAACAGCAGTAAACTCAATGGCAGCTGTAGAGAGCCACAATTTCCAAAATGTCTTGTACCTGTTGTTTGCTGCTGCCCTTGTGCTGAAGACCAAGATATTGGGGAAAGGAGAGTAAAAGGGAACTGCCCTGGGTGTGTTCTTCAGACATTATGCCTCCCATTCTCAAGTTAATTTTATTACGACCAATTTGTTTACAAACCAGGGCCAGTGTCTCCAACTGCACTAATACAGACTTTCTGTCATTGGGTTCACTTAACTGGCTTTCTTTCCTGTCATTTGGACTGACTGCATTTTTGCTTGGTAGCTGGGTATCCCTGCTATTGTTGCTTAGTAGTTGAGTATCTCCTCTAATTCGGAAATGATTAACATGATGTAACCTAATCCCACTTTCATTATTATTCCCTTCATCTGCACATGTTCTTCTTCATTGTAGCTTTTCACCAAGCTTTTCCCCCTTCTGGAGGTTCTTCTTGCACACTCATTGCACACTTTTATTAATGGGAGTTTGATCAGGCTCTTTAACTTCAATGAGACTGACCCCCAAATGCATTCTTTAGTAACAATATTTATATCATCTATATCATCTGAGGCTTAAATGAGAAATCACAAGAAACCATTTCCCTATTCTGTATGTCTGGCCAGCTAAAACTGCCATCCTTTTTATCAGGGTAAGTAATAAGCTATTCCTTTCCTAATTCCCAGTGATTCATCATGACCTAAAAATGGTGGGTAGAAGAACACACACACACGAATGTTTCTCAAATGTACTGGGCAGCCTTTGCTACTGGGACAATGGATGCCAGCATGAAACCCTAGACAAAAAAGTTTTCACAAGAGAAGCACACATACATAATCAAGATGCACTATCTCAGTGGCACAGCTCAGACCTCTGTGAGCATATTTAGACAGTGAACAATGTTTCTGCATGTGCATCATGTTTCATAATTTAGTAATGTACATGCAAAAGCAGATGATAAATCCTAGATTCCAGCATATGTAAAAGGAAAGATAATTCTGAAAACTTGGGGCCTAGCAGAAGTTTTTCAATATGTTCCTGTTAGAGTTTTCTCATTTCAGAAGGCACAGGGGGTGCACAGGGTTGCTGGAAACCCCATGCAAAGACAGTGTAATTATACTACAGTTTTTCTGGATAAACTCATGTTTCCTCTACTGGCATTAATTTTATAGGAATTGATCCTCCATGGCTTTAAAAACATGAAGAAAAAGATGCAACTAAGAAGCTATGATTTTGTGGGGAACAGTGGGCAAAGGAAGTACCCCAATGATTTGGGCTTCTGACTAAGCTCCAGTTTTCCAAGGATGCTGCTGATCAGTGAGACTTCCCTATAGATCTCAAGACATCCACTGACTTGATGAATTATAGCTCATACTTGCTCTCTGCAAGTCTTCCCTACTGGTAGCATGATTTGGCAAAAAATCTGTAACTTCAAAAGCAGAAAACATCCTGCCTGTCTTTGGTCAGTATAGAGAGTTTTCTGATGGCAGGGCATGATCTTGATGAACTTAGTGATTTTTTTCTTTAAAATTCATACTTACAGGCTGTACCTTAAAGATCAGGGTGACTCCAGCCTGTTAAATATGTATTTTTTTAAAGTCACTAATTTACTTAATTTAAGGTGTTCAATATAATGCCCACTTACTAGCGTCAGTACCTATGACTGTTATTTATTCAGAGATTCATATCAAGATGTTTATGCAATTAACTGAATTCTTTTAATGGATAACTTAAGAACTATTTAAGTAGATAACTATATTTCTTACGATACTATGGGGGGAAAAAAAGAAAAAATGAGGAAAATTAAGTCTGTTTGGGAAAAGGGGCTGACTCATGCTCAGTTGTATTGAAGTACTCATCCCCAGAGGTACAGTTTATAAACACAGTCATTAGTAACACATTGCAAAAGATCTCACCTGACCTTTTTTTTTCCCTTTCATAATGAGTACTTAAACCCAAAGGAATAGCTTTGTATTAAGCCCAAGCGGTTGTAAACATGGATTGTAATGTCATAACCAAGTATCTGAAGTGCAAACCAAACTGGGGATACTGTTATAATTCTATTATTTACACAGTGGATCACAGTAATTCACTCAGAGTCAAAATCCTAGAGTTCAAGCTGATTTGGAGGCATTCCAGGGTATCATATAAATAAACCTTTACAGGAGCAATGGTTATAGAGAGGATTTAGCCTAATCCAATGCTCTGTGCTGTAAAGTGCACTCTCCTAAGTACCATAACCTTGGTGGAGGGGGAGGTTATGCACTTACCCAGAATATGCACTTACTTGAACTTAACAAAACAGTGCTGGTGAAGTGCACGACACTTTCAGTGCAGAAACATTAGCAGCTGACAAGCTGAAGGGCGCCTGCAATTTTCAAGGCTGCGTATAATAGTCAGTTTGAGGCCTGCTATTAGAAGCCTCGAAAGTGAGGGGAACTAGCCAGTTTCAGAGCTGCTATGAGAAGCCAACTCCTGTCATTTTCAAGGCTTCTTGTAATAGCAGCCTTCTGACAGCTGCTCACCCTTGCCCATTCCTAGGCGGTGGAGTGCAACCGCATTACAATGCAGACCGGGGGGCTGCAAGGCACTACCGTTATACGCATGTATGTGCCTCACTCATGTCCGCTGGGCTGCAAGCAAATAGGCCAGATCTGGGCCACTCCTGACCCTGCAGCTCGCTCCTTGCTTGTTGAGGCTTGGGTGGGACAGCCTCTGAGAAAACTCTGCCATTGACTCCAGCAGCCAGGATGGGCAGAGCTGCTAGCCCTCCCTCAGCACCACCTGCGTGGGGCTA